ATCATAGGTAGACCTCAACTATGAGAGACAAAATGAGAAAAAAAATCCAAACGCCATAGCAATGGAGGCTTATTGTGCATGAGCGTGCTCCTGGAAATCAAGGGGTTAAATGTGATGACTGGTGTACTGATGGGCAATCTGACGCTATCTGGGAGGGGTGTGGAAACCACGGGGAGCGCAAATCATATATATATTTGTGATTTTGTGCACCCATGCCGCCCTGTAGCAGTATTTCTGCTATAGGGCGGTCAGGAAGCGGTTACAGAAGCGGTTTGTGTTATGGCGCTGTGTTACTTTTAACTGACAGTTGCGCGGTCATGCAACACTGCACCCAAATTAATTCAACGTCCTTTTTTTCCCCACAAATTGAGCTTTCTTTCGGTGGTATTTGATCTCCTGTGCGTTTTTTATTTTTTGCGCTATAAAAAAAAAGGATGACAAGTTTGAGAAAAAATACAATATTTTGGACTTTTTGCTATAAGACATGTCCAGTAAAAAAAAATGTAAAAATCAAATTTCGTCATAAATTTTGGCCAAAACATATTCTATGGCATAGCTTTACTAAAAAAAAAATCCCAATACGTGTAAATTAATTGGTTTACGTTAAAGTTATAGCGTCTACAAATGGGGGGGAAAGATACTGGGATTTTTTTTTTATACTAATAATGGCAGTGATCAGCAACTTATGGCAGCGATCAGCGATTTATGACAGTGATCAGCGACTTATGGCGGAACTGCGGCAGACATTTTGACACTGGGGGAGAACTGACTTGAGGTCACTGACAGCCCCAGTGACACCAATACAGTGATCAGTGCAAAAAAAAAAAAAACAGCGACACTGTACTAATGGCACTGGGGAGGAAGGTAATGACCGGCTGGGACCCGGTGATTGACACCCACTGCCGCGATCTGCAGGACGGGTAGGACGAGCGTGCGCCTCGCGCGCACCCCCTACCTGTTTTACAAAATGAAGTTTTAAAATGTGATTTTTGCCCAGCGGTGCCACCTTGTGGCCATTTTTTCTACTGTGGCTGGACAGCAAGCAGTTAAAGTGCTAGACACTTTTTTGAGCATAGAGATATGTGATATTGTAATAAATTAATGTACTGTTAGCAATTGTAATACAAAAGCGATAGTTGGCAACAGTAAAATAGGATATAAAGTTAAAAATTCTGTAGAAAAGGTCACCTCGCCTTTAGTTTCATGTAGAGTAAGGCCAATCTGGTGCATCAGAGTAAATGTCTCCCATAAATTACTTTCAGCATTCCTTCATAGTTTTGATGGAGACTAGAGCAGCTGAGCTGAAATTGCAGCCAAGTTTTCAGGTTTCTAAAGAGAGCATTTACAGAAATAACATAACCAATTGGTCATCAAATGGTTTGAGGGGTATTCTCTAGGATCTGGAGAGTATTTTTGGTGCTCTGCAGGCACACACTTAATGACAACCTTTCTTGCTATATCTGTTTTCCAGGTGATAAGGCAACGACCAACGTATTATTTAAAAAAATGAAGTTACGATTTGGTGGATGACAAATGTGTTATCAATCTTAAACCTATTTTTTTTTTTTTTTTTAAGCTCTAATGTATCCTGTTCACTTGTTGGTCATTAAATCACAAGCATGTTTAATAGCTGATTGTTATTTTCCTATACATTAGCATAACCATTTCCTATGAAGAGAACGCCATCATAGCAGGAATTATGGAATAGAAGTACAGTTGGGATCCTGAGAAAAACTGAGTTTCAGTCTGAGTTCAGATAAAATTAATTATGTTTTAAGAATTTACAGTGCTCAGCATAAGTGAGTACACCCCAACAGATGGGTCAGAAAACCTTTACTTTCCTTTCAGAATCAACATTTGCTATGGGACACTATACTAAAAAAATACTCCCACAAATGCAGGCCATCAATTGTAAACAGGATTTGGTCATTTGCACACACGAAAAAGTATTTTTTGCTAACAAATTAATTCAAGACCATGTTGCAAAAATGAACACTCCTCAATGAATGTCTTAGGAGCAAAGCTAAATTTTAGACAACAAAATCCTAATTAACATTAAACAGATGTCCAGCAGTCAGTTGATTGTAAAAGGGCATTACTCAACAAAAAAAAACCCTTTCCATTTCATGCTTTCAGCAATGGCACCACATGGAAGAGAAATGTCACAAGGACTGAGAAAGAAAATAATTTCTTTACACAAGAAAGGTGAAGGCTACAAGATGATCAGCAAAGCTTTACTTATCAGTCAGAATACTGTAGCAAAAATTTACCAAAGATGGAACTGTAGCCATCTCACAGAGACATACAGGCCATCCACGGAAATTAACACTTTTACAGGAGCATATTCTGATGCGAAGGGTTGAAGAAAATCGCCATGCAAGTTCACTGCTAAAGAAGTAGAAAGCCAAACTGGGGTAATTGTTTCCCTGGACACAATACGGTGTACGTTGCAGAGGAATGGCATGCATGGGTGTCGTCCATGAAGCAAGCCTCTCCTTCAAAGCACAAAAAAGCCTGCCTAGAATTTGCCGGGGCCCATGCTGAAAAAGACTACTGGGACTCTGTACTCTGGAGTCGTGAGACCAAGATAAATGTTTTTGGAACTGGTGGCTTCAAAACTAAATGGTGTCGCAAAGGTGAGGAGTGCAAAGAAAAATGCTTAGTGCCTACAGTGAAACGTGGTGGCAGTGTCCTTCTGTGGGGCTGCATGACTGTTGCTGGTGTCGGGAAGCTGCATTTCATTGATGGTATCATGAATTCATAGATGTACTGCACTATATTGAAAGAGAAGATACTACCATCACTTAGTGTCCTTTATCATCGTGCACTTTTCCAACATGACAATGAGCCAAAAACAAATCTAAGGCCACTGTTGCATTTCTGAAGAACAGCAGGGTGAAAGTGATTCAGTATGTCTCCTGATCTGAACTTAATTGAACACCTATGGGAATTATGAAGAAACAAGTTGAGCTTACTCTCTAGCATCCAGGCCCTAAAAGGGATCATTCTTGAAGAATGGAAAAAGAATATGTCGCCAACTTGTTCCAAGTCTAAAAGACTTGGTGCTGTCCTTACAAATCATTGAGGTCATACAAAATACTAGATGTAGTAGTTTTTGTTGTGGGGTGTATTAATTTTTTTCATCAACTAATATTAATGAAACTGAAGATTTTGTAATCTAAGTTATATTAATCTTACTTTCATGTAATGAGCTTAATAAATGTTTTATGAAACTCAGTTTTGACAAAATCCTGGAAATTGTTATTGTGTTTATTAATTAAAATCTTACTTTTCTAAAGGGGTGCACTCATTTATGCTGAGCACTGTATATGCAGCTTTCTAATCATTAGTGGGGTCAAATTTCTGATCATTTTTGGCCACAGTTATGAGAAAATTAAAAGGAACACAATTTAATTTTTTTTATGAACAAATTTCCAGCAGTATGTGGTTTTTGTTCGGTAAAGTTCATTCATTCCAAAATGAATGTTAAAAGCAAACAAAATTTTTAACTAAATGTTGTACTATTGAACAACATTCGTTAGGCCCTCAAATGTACTGAGAACTTTTGTACAATGTTTGTATGGATTTTCATTAAAAAATCGAATAATGTATAATCAGCTTTACAGATGTGTATTTGCTCAAACCATTCAACGGCCTGTTTTATGATCGATTTTATGACTTGACTCAATAAGAGCCTTGTCCTGACCCTGGCTAAGATGTTTCTGCATTTCATTCAAACTGATCTGCTTTTTTACATTGTGTCTTAGACTAGTTGTTTGTGGGGTGTTTTATGAATTGTGTTCCCTGTCTGTCTACTCACCAACTGGTGCATTTTAGAGAAATTTGAGGGTCGCATTGTGTTCAGTAAGTCTTCTCTATTCCCATGCACATATCTATTAAGCCACCATAGTTTACAATTACACAAATAGACATTCAAAATAATTGAAATACATTAACTGACAAATGGCCAGCACAGTGCTAAATGGTTAGCAAATCTGGCAGTTCCAGAGTCGTTAGTTCAAATCCCAACCATGGCACCACCTGCCTGGAGTTTGCATGTTCTCTCTCCCTGTGCCTGCGTGGGTTTCCCCTAGGTCAGGCATGTCTTAAGTCCGGCCCGCGGGCCAATCGCGGCCCGCGTTCCGGACTGAAACGGCCCCACAGGTGAGCTACCCAAATATATAACTTACGGCCCCCGGTAGTGATTCCCTGAAAGCTACTGAGGACTCCAGCGATCTCTTGACATCATCAGCTGCGCAGGAAGGAGAGCCCAAATCTTGCGACGTCCGAGATCTCGTGAGATTTGGGCTTTCCTTCTCTGTGTGCCGGCTGATAACGTCAATTCCCCGCTCGACAGATCCCTGGAGTCCTCAGTGGCGTTCGCAGAATCACTAGTGGAGGGCCGTAAGTTATATATTGGGCAGCTCATCTGTGGGGTCCGGAACGTGGGCCGAGGGATCCCAGGTGGTGTGCAGGGAATTACTACTGGGGCTACCATTTACCGTATTTTTCGCTCCATAAGACGCACTTTTTCCCCCCCAAAAAAGGGGGGAAAATGTCAGTGCGTCTTATGGAGCGAATATAAAGCGGCCGGTCCGGTATTTCTGCCACCACCATGTCAGAATACCGGGCCGGCCGCTCAGCTGTTGTCTCCTGCAGGGCCTTACCTGTTCCTCGCTCCAGCGCTGCACAGTCTTCCCGCGCTGGCTTCTGTTACAGCCAGGTGCCCACTGCGCATGCGCTTCGCTTTGTGAATGGCCATCGCAGTCTCTGGTCATCTCCTGTACTGTGTCCGCAGTCTCTGGTCATCTCCTGTACTGTGTCCGCAGTCTCTGGTCATCTCCTGTACTGTGTCCGCAGTCTCTGCTCATCTCCTGTACTGTGTCCGCAGTCTCTGGTCATCTCTGTACTGTGTCCGCAGTCTCTGGTCTCCTGTACTGTGTCCGCAGTCCGCTCTGCTGGTCATCTCCTGTACTGTGTCCGCAGTCTCTGGTCATCTCCTGTACTGTGTCCGCAGTCTCTGGTCATCTCCTGTACTGTGTCCGCAGTCTCTGGTCATCTCCTGTACTGTGTCCGCAGTCTCTGGTCATCTCCTGTACTGTGTCCGCAGTCTCTGGTCATCTCCTGTACTGTGTCCGCAGTCTCTGGTCATCTCCTGTACTGTGTCTGCGCTGGTCATCTCCTGTACTGTGTCAGTCTCTGGTCATCTCCTGTACTGTGTCCGCAGTCTCTGGTCATCTCATGTACTGTGTCCGCAGTCTCTGGTCATCTCCTGCACTGTGTCCGCAGTCTCTGGTCATCTCCTGCACTGTGTCCGCAGTCTCTGGTCATCTCCTGCACTGTGTCCGCAGTCTCTGGCAGTCTCTGCACTGTCTGGTCTCCTGCACTGTGTCCGCTGTGTCCGCAGTCTCTGGTCATCTCCTGCACTGTGTCCGCAGTCTCTGGTCATCTCCTGCACTGTGTCCGCAGTCTCTGGTCATCTCCTGTACTGTGTCCGCAGTCTCTGGTCATCCCCTGTACTGTGTCCGCAATCTCTGGTCATCTCCTGTACTATGTCTGCAGTCCATTGGTTCAGAATTTTTTTTTTCCTGTTTTTCGCCTCTAAAACCTAGGTGCGTCTTATGGAGCGAAAAATACGGTATCAATTTGGGCTATAATGGATTGGTGCTCAGGATCGCTTGACGTTATCAGACAGTGCAAGGAGAAACGAAGCCCAAATCTCGCGACCTCCGAGATCTCGCGAGATTTGGGCTTTCCTTCTCCCTGTGCTGGCAGAGTGATTTAACACCTGTTTAGATTTGTCATCCAAGTCACAAAATGAAAAGTATGCTGTTTTTTCAATAAACTTTTGCATAAAATAGTTCATTTGCATTTAATTTTAATGGTTCATCAGAATGTCGGGCAAAATGGTCGGCCCCTCGCACATGTTCACTTCATCAAATCTGGCACTCTTCCAAAAAAGTTTGGACACCCCTGCCCTAGGTACTCCAATTTCCTCCTGCACTCCCAAAGACATGCTGGTAGGTTAATTGGATCCTGTCTAAATTGGCCCTAGTATGTTTATGTATGAATGTGAGTTAGGGACTTTATATTGTACACCTATTGAGGGTTAGGGACTGATGTGAATGTACAATATATATGTAAAACACTGCCTAAATTGACAGTGCTATATAAGTACCTGTAATACGTAAATAAAAATTTAAACAGTTCATCACACTCAAACTGGTAATATTAGGTTTAATAGTGAAAGATAAGAGACAAAATTATGAAATGAGTAGTCTTTGATTATGCCAATAAGTGGTGTACAGCATAGCATATGTTAGAGAATTTGCAATCGTAAACTTATTATTAAACTTCTTTTTACACATACATTAAAAAAGTCAACTTTTGATGTAAATAATATTATAAATAAGATCTTGCTTCTAAATGTAATTTGTAATTATCTATGCATGTAAACGCAGCCATATTTACTTATTAATTACACAGGTTCTGAATTCTGCTTTACAGTGATGCACAATGATTGGGCTTCTTACAATGCAAAGTTGAGTCGGCTGACCAATTAAAAGCAATGCACTCTTATTGTCTCCTCAGTTATTAGGCAGAGTTACTTTAGTAGCTTAAGTACCTCTAGTAATAATCCTTACATTTTTACATTTGATAAAATAATATCAAAGAAACGTTTAAAAAAAATATATATGTTGAACGAACACTACAATAACATATAACCTTTTACTTGCCTTTTAAGACAATATTGTGATAGATCTATTATATACACACAGCCTCTTTGGGGTGTTCAGAATATAGCCTGTAAAATTTCAGAACAATCATTGGTGAAACCTGGCTTCATCATCTTCCATTTCTGCCAAATGTAACTTTCATGTATAGTAATCACTTATTCTTACATATGTTTTGCCAACATTCTTCCAGTGTTAAATATCTGCTTGGCAGTATTGCACTTCCACAAACACAGAATTAGACATTTTTTAACTTTATAATTTTTGTAATGCTATATGCATTACAAACAATCACTGTACTTTAAAGTGAATATTTTACATTTCTATTAATTTTATACTTTTTTTTTTTTTTCTCATTTCAATATTTTTATTGTTTTAGATTTAAACAAAATAAACAGCATGGCATAGCAATACAATGAGGGTTTGCAGCCCCAAGTTGTCACAAAACATGCAGTTATGCAAATATAACAAAATGCAGTAAAAGAACCTGAAAACCTGGATTCATCAGTGTGCAAAATGTATTTATTAATGTCCCTTTGACAGTTGACTTACCAAGTCAGACCGGAGGAGCAGCTGTAGTTTTGCTGCCCATGCGTTGGAGAGAGCTCCATATTTACAGCTGAGACAAGCCTCCTTGGGAAAAAGTAATTGCTTGAGCCTGCCAGTTGCAAATGGCAAAGCTGACTCATCTCTGGAGGCTTTAGTATGCTCTTTTGTTTCAGATTACTTGGCCTTCATGTTTTCATGGAAACTGAATAGTGGTGCAAACAAGCTTTTGTATTATTTATTGCTATTTATTAATTTTTTAAGTACTAATACATTTTATATTCCTTTTTATTGCTGTTTAGTGTTTACTTGATTCAGGCTAGATTCACGTTATCACGGCTCTGTGAGACGCAATTTGCATGGGCACAGTGGCCCATTTGTTTGAATGGGCCGCTGTGCTTCCTGAAACACAGGGAAAAGGTCCCTGTGGCATTTTAGGAATCACAGCCTTTGCGGGAACTGCAAGTGCAGTGTGGGAGCAATTTCCAGTACATGCAGTGTGCCATTAGGATTAACACTTTCCTATGTTTTTGTGTGGGTGATTGTGACTGTGGGAACAGGTGTAGTCCTGCAGTAGCAATCACCTGCACAGATGTGAACCTAGCCTTAAACTAAATGTTCAGTTGGGTTTCAAATACATTTCGGGTACATCAAAAATTTCAGGTTCATTTTGTTTAGAAAATGAATTCTAAGTAGAAAAGCCTGTCCCCTGCCAGCAAACAGCAAAGCAGAACTTACCCTTACTGTGAAAACAGTGGTCTCTCTGCAGAGGTCTGGCATGCCCAATGCTTTGTCAGGGCTGGATGGAGCTCTCTAGTCAGAAGGAAGCATTAGCTTTAACGATTGGAGAGCTGAAATGAAATCAACTGAGTGAAATTCTGAGAGCTGTTACAATGATTTCTGGATGGTATTAGAATGTCATTGATTTTATATGCTCTCCAAAATTGTCTTAGCTATAAATAAATATATAGATAAATCACAGTACTAAACCATTCCTAACATACCAACCTTGCTTCTGCTGCCAACAGCAGATTACTCTATAATTTATGCTTGCTCATACTTTGCATTCATCAAGTAATCTCAGTTTTCAATAATGAATGCTGATCCTTACATGTCTGTTATGTTCCTAACTGGCAGAAAATTGTGGATGATTATCAAATAGATTTGAGTCTTTGAGAATCATTTTAAATTTCCTTCTTATCTGAATGCCAGCAAGTTAATGGCCTTTCCTTTCCAGCCAGCAGTTACAAAAAGTTGGAATACTGTTACTTATTTGTAATACTGTTACTTATTTGTAAATGTAAGGCTGTATTGAGATTGAACATGGTTTTATATACAAAAAACATATTTTAGTCTGTCTTTCTCTGGTCTGTTCAACTGCTCTTTGGTGCTTTGCTAGATAGATATATAATATTTCTGTTATATGCTTGTCATCTGTTAACCTTAGTTTACATTAACCACGGACTTTGCCTTTCCTCTGAAAGTGGTCATCTGTTTTATCACCTTTTAGAGGCTTTGAGAAGGCAATCTGTTGTGGCTCAACCACCTGTTTTTAACCGCCCCCACCTCAATTCTATGCCCACAACCCCACTTTGTCTCTAGTTTCTGGTGAGCACAGAAGAAGATAGTACTACCAGGAATCCCCATCAATGTGATTTTTTTATTGCATCAGATAGTGATGTTTAAATCCAAAGGTCTCTCTCAGACTGTGCTTGGTGAAAGTCCTTGAATTAAGGTTTCTGCTGTATCCAATGGTATAATGTCACAGGAAAAGGACTTACTGATAGTGATTCTTCTTTTAATAAGCTTTTATTGCTGGTGAGTCCTGGACAGTAGCAGTCCCTCTTTATTAGGTCATGTTTTTGTGTATATTTGGAATAATTGTACTTCTTTGTGATTTTGGGTGAAGACGGACTATCAACCGGGTGTAAAGTAAAAGGCCCATATTAGTTATCCAAATACGGCAGAAAATGGTGAAACCTTGGGTAAACAGTGTCACTATAGCAAGATCATTTTTTTTTTTTTTTTTGCCTTCCATATATCATCTATTTGAACTTGCACATCATGCAAAACATAAATGTTTAGTCAATAACAGAAATAGATGGCTGAGATGTTATCCATAAGACTTTACTTAAGACATCTTTAATTAATTTAGATAATTCATTTGTTGGTAGATTCCCTGTCTGGAGAACTTACTGGAGATCTTGTATAAGCAATTAGATCAGCACCACAAAGCTGGTTCTTTGGCATTCAGTAATGACTGGGTAGCTGGCAGTGTGCTTTCAACCTCTTCTGCTAAGAAAGAAATGGGAGGCCTTGCTAGCATGCATTGTAATTTGTGTCACCATCATAAAACGGCAGACAGTAAAATAAGTACATTCCAAAAGAGAAGATTACAACTAGACTTTCTCATGTTGCAAGAGTGAGTAAGGCCACAGCAGATGGCATTGTCACTTGTGATTTTGTCGGCAATTATTAACTGGTTTTAGGTAGCATTTATGTTACTTGTAAAAGATGAGACGATTCATTTGTATACCCAGTCATTATCTGTTCTGACATTAATTTGTGTTTTATTTTCTCCCTAAAGAAGTAATAATGGTGCTGTCACTCATTGTGATTATGTTGTCACTTTTTCCTTGGAAGGCAGAAATAAAACGTCCAGGGAAATGGATCGTATGAATCATGTTTAGAGTATATGTATCCTGTCTGCAATCAACTTTTTTTACTTGCTTATAACTTTTATTCTTCTCTGTCATGCCTTAGAGCTTACTTGTTTTTTTCTGCGATGTCTGTGTAAAGTTGTAGAACATGGATAAAACAGGTAAATAGGTTGAAAACAGACACAACCATCTAGATAACCAAAAGATCTAATGAAGATGTACCTTTTTCAGATGACATTTTGGCCTAGTTTACGCTTGCATTAAAATAGAGTGGTTGAGAAGCATTTTCAAAACTCTCCTATTGCCCATTGCCACACTTGCACTGCAGCAAAAATTATACCCCCTGTTGCTTTCAGCAGACAGTGCCCTTTTCAAATGTGACCCCTTTAAATAGCCTAACGCTAGGCTTATGGTTGCAGTGTGGTATTTCTATTCAAAAACCGTGTTCGGCTGTAAGGAAAAAAAAAAAAAAAAAGGAATTAAGGGGGCAGCAGTATCCTTAGTGGAT